AATTGAGGTTTACTGTCTATCAAAATTCACAATCCTTAAGATCACGGGGGAGGAAGTGTTACACGAAGGATGGAGTTCTTATGATAACTTGTTCAGGAGTTCTTGTGATAACTGTCACGGAGTTCGTAGGAAAACATCTGTATATACTACAAAAACAATCGTTACATCTTGTATTATGTGTCAAAAACTAATTCACAGGCCATTTTTAATCGCCTCTTGCTTCAAATCATGTAGTTTTGAGTAAAATTTCCAAATTATTTGCCAATTCACAAGTATTGACCTGTTTATTTCTGGTCTTCATCCTTTCCATACATAATTACCTAATTATAATGCAAAATTGCAAACATGAAGCATCGGCTAACAGATTTATAGCCGATTTTTCAAATGTCCCGGAGTTCTTGTGATAACTCTGAAATGTCACAGAGTTCTTATGATAACTTTTGTTATTGCAAGTGTGTTCCTTGCGCTAAATCACGGCACGTTTTAGCGTTTTTAGTTATTCATTGAGATTGTAAATCATTATGACATGTAGTACGCTCATCCTTTGCGCAAAAAATAGGATATATAACGTTGGTTTTGAGTGAATTTTATTTCAAGAGATATTTTTTCTTTCCCCCTGTTTCTTTTTCATAGTATTCTTTTTTGTTTGGCTTAGATTTCGTAGACTTGAAAAATGATTTATGTACTGGTTTCCTTGCAGTTTCCGGCCCCTAGCAGGTTTCTGGCCCTTTATCATTTTCATCCAGGCATACAGTCTATTTTTTCTCAGTTAAGCATCTATGTTACTGCATCAATCAGAGAAACATTTGCTTTCTAAGTAAAACAGCAGTTATAATAGTACAGCGATTAATATGTTTCAAAGTTTTGTCTGTTGTTTTAAGTTACATTAGAGAACTTGTGACACTTACAAGCAACACCTGGGGAATTATAGTTTGAATGCCCATGCACAAAAACTGAAATCCCATTCTAGGTAAATCTGGAACCTGGAGGGACAGTTCAAATTTTTTCGAGAGATTGGTAGTTAGAGTCAACCGCAGTTGAGTTTTTATCATGTATCGTACTTATTTTAAAGACATAGGTGTGGAAATTATCCTGGTTATATACTCATTTATTATGGTATAAAATGATACAAATTACTTAGCCTTTAGGTAAGGGAAGCATGCCTATATATTGTCTGCTTAAGAAAGGTGGTTGCTTAAAAACATGTGAAACTGAGAACAACGTGTACGTTTTTGAGACATTTTTGTTTTTGTTGTTTAAGCCATTATACTGCTAATATCAGTGGCTGCTGGTTCAATTTTACTGTAGATGATAGCCTATCACCTATTTATCCTTTGCAGACACTTGAGACCAACGTTTTATCCACATTTTTTGTGCAAAGGATGATCGTACTGCATTTCCATAATGATTTACAATCTTATTGAATGATAATAAACGCCAAAACGTGCCGTGATTTAGCCAAAGAAACACACTAGCAATAACAAAAGTTATCATAAGAACTCTGTGACATCTTCAGAGTTATCACAAGAACTCCGGAACATTTGAAAAATCGGGTATAAATCTGTAAGCCGGTGCTTTATATTTGCAATTTTGCATTATAAATAGGTAATTATGTATGGAAAGGATGAATGCCAGAAATAAACCGGTCAAAACTTGTGAATTGGCAAGTAATTTGGAAATTTTACTCAAAACTACCAGATTTGAAGCAAGAGGCGATGAAAATTAGCCTGTGAATTAGTTTTTGACACATAATACAAGATGTAAGACAAGCTTAATCATTAAAGTTTAATTTAGCACCTAAAACTCATTTTGGAAAGATGAAAATAACCATTTTTGACGAGTGTATTTGTAGTATATACAGATGTTTTCCGGCGAACTCCGTGACAGTTATCACAAGAACTCCTGAACAAGTTATCATAAGAACTCCATCCTTCGTGTAACACTTCCTCCCCCGTGAAGATAAAGATACAGATTAACGCTCATTTAAATCGTCTTTCACATATCCATCTTTTATACTGTCGCTAAGCCAGCGACCATCCCGTTTAAATAACCTGTATTTTACTACTTTATTGGCGGCGACAGTGGCACCACTTGACCTTAAAGAATGTAAGCAGTACTGCTTGACGTGTTTAACATGTGACTTTAAATCCCTGAGAAATTCTTCACGTAAAGTACTGTATGACATAGCCTTGTTAACTTTTCTCACAGAAAACCTTTCTTTTGAACCATTCAAATTACATAATACAAAATCATCACTTTTAAGTGACGACCATGATATAAATTTCTGAACATTAACAACTGGACATAAAAACGTTCCTGTTTTAGCTATTGTTATCCAAGACCCGTCTCTATATTTAATAGTCTTACTGCTTTCTATAAAAATTGGCACGTATGTCTGAAAGAAAACAATATCAGACACTTTAATACTTAACAATTCGGAACTTCTCAAAAACCAGAAAAGGCTTAAAGACACGCGCAAATGATTCTCTGATTTTTTTTTGATTTTTTGAAGAATACAAATGATTTTACATTTTTGATAAAATGTCCCTTGTTAAAGGTTCTTTTTTAACTGTTGGTTTGCCCAGTCACCTTTTAGTTGATTCTAAAATATTTGTAACTAACTTTGAATCAGTTGGCGATTTAAAGTCAAATAAATCATGAAACCATTTGACTGCATAAAAAGCAGAAATCACAGGACTTGGTGTATTTGCTGTGTGTATCAATGATGCAAAATAAATTGCCAAAGGAAAAGCCTTAGCAGGAAAGATATCCCCACTCCCTAACCCATTACACTTTGCCCATTTCTCCTAGAGAGAACAACTGTTCTCATATTTTCGACTTGTGCTATCAGCCCTCGACTTGCGTAGTAGATCCGGGATTAGCTCCACCTTTTCTGCCAAAACTTCGGGTAATGCATCAATATCATCTTTATGCGTCTATGAAAATAAACGCATAATAAAAGGAAACAATTAGTAAGTATGCTTGAAATGTAAATTTACCAATAATCACAATAAACACAATTTGACTGTACATTTTATCAATCAATTAAGTTTTGTAACTGATAAATTCCTTTTATTATATCTGACATAGCTGTCTATCCCCGGCAATACTGTCTTTCCACTGGCAATAATTAGGTATTTTGCTTATTATAAGGAGGACAACTTTAAAGTCAAATACTGATATAAGTAATACGATTAATCTCCCTTAGAAAAATAAATAAATAAAGCTATCACTCGGAATTTTAAATCTGTATTGCCGAAAATACCATTCCCGGACTAACATCGAGTATTAAAATCTCTATTTGTAGGCAAATCTATCCAATCCTTAACGCTAGACGTAAAATTTCCGTTTTGACAGAGAATAGGTCACAATACAGCTGATTTCCAGCAAGGTACAACAATAACATTTTTTTGCTTTATCAATTTTCATCTTTGACAATACTCTATAATTTATTGATATGGGTGGGACAATATATACGAAATCATTGCCCCAAACCTCTGTGAATGCGTCTACTCCTTCAGAAGACGAATTCCAATATCTGGAATAAAAACGATCTACTTTCGCATTATTTTCGGAAGCAAACCAATCTCGAATTGACCTTAACGTTTTTGTAATAAATCGAAAGTTTGAGAAGCAAGTCCCCAATTGTCAAAATCTACAATTTTTGATAAATAATCAGCTTTATCATTCTTCGAACGAAGGATCCATTCTAACTCAAGAAAAAATTTAATTAGACAAACAAAAATGAAAAATGAAAAATCTTATAGGATACATCCTGTAAGTCTTTTTCATAGAACCTTGTTTCACTATTGTAGCAACTACTTGGTGATCCATAGACCATTTAACTCTTTCATGAGCTAAAATATGAGCCAAGGACTGCAAAACCCTATACGCTGTCAGCTTCAAGCTCTCTCCAAGTGGAAGAATAACTTGATTCTTTACAATTCCAATTACCATGGGAAACCCCATTTATAGTTGACACTTCATACCCTGCATAACCCATGCAGCTGGCATCAGAATATACTGTTTTAGAAACCTTTTGATTCTAAAATATATCTCTGCTATTTATCCAACTAATATTGGGCTTCCAAAACGCACATAATACCTATATTCACAATTATATGTTTTTGACCTTGTTCATACTCGTAATAATTATGCGTAAACTTATCAAGATTATAAAAATACTTATCTTTGAAGAAGTCTTCATGAGAAGGACTTTGCTCACACTTTTTCCTTTCCACTGGATGACTGGTTCCCGGCTGGGACTTATGGACGGGTGATGTTTGGACAATTTTTTCGGAAGTGGTTATATTCGCCCCAGGCAAAGCAGGGCCCAAGTAAACCTGAGTTATACCCAAATGATTGCAAGTAGCTTCTTGAACTGAAGTTGTTGGATGAGCCACGAAAAGACTTCCCTCTAGGAAACGTCGATATGGGTTGATAACGAAAATCATTCGTACTTGAAAACCAGTGTAAGAACCAGCATCGTCACGAGAATAGGATGACGTGGCCGCACCCTTGCCACGTGAGCTTGAACGTTTGCGCTTAAGAGCTCGAGTCTCAGCCTTATAGATATTGCTTTCGTCTTCTGTATCACTAGCGACGGGATTTTTTTCATACTGTATCACATATTCCCAGCCGCCTGAAGAGTCTGCGATGTGTATCAATTTGTTTCGTTTTTTAAACTTGTCTGATAGTTCTAGACAATCTCTTTAGAATAGTCAAACTTCTGATTATCTATAGCCCAAACTAGCTGCTTTACTGTACTGCTCATGCCACTGTTAATTTCATATTGTATCTTGTTACCTTGAAAACGCCAAGAAATGTCCCTCTCGGTTTTATACTTCTTCACTTCGGTAACGACACTTTGAGAATTTCCTTGAACTTCTGCGCGCAGCGCTCTTACTTCTTCCCGTTGCTGCCTTAGTTCAAACAAAACTTCTCTTATTGAAGAATTCTCTGGCTGTAGAATAGAAGAACTAGTATCGTCATTGTCAGCCATGCCGCATGTACATGTACAAAATAACTTATGTTATGTTAAGTATGTAAAATTTAATGATGTAAACCGGTCGATTACCCAAAGCTGAATGAACTTACACAGACTGAAATACTGCACGAAAATATCGTGGACTCTTGTCACTCTTTACTAATTTCCTTCTAATTCGTTCCTCAAACAAAAGAAATTATATATATTATCAAATATCGTTGAGACGTGGTCGAGGTTGTATGAACACGGAGTTGAAAAGATAATCAACGGACTGAATCCAACTGAACACGAGTGGCATACGTAAAAACTATTTAGAGGAACTTGAATTTGCGTGGCCTAATACAATGAATGACCGTCGTATGAAAACTTAATTTGAAAAAAAAACTAATTCAAAATTGAGATGCAACACGGTTTGATTGAACCTGTTCACAGACTGCAGTAAAAAGTGCAAACAAACAACTATACCGAATGCAATGATCACAAGGGAGAGCAGAAGGCAGTCCTCGAAAGCACTATCTCTCTATTCATGCATCAAGCAAAGCACCGAACAGTATAAATAAGAAATGTCCATTTTGGATATTCTCATAATTCCCAGTAATAACAAATTCTGACTATAGAAAACAGGTATTTACTAAAGTTATTCGATGATGATTTTAGGTAGTGGACACAAATAAATTGTAAGAATGACTGTCGATAAAAACTAGTATTATCATTTTTTTACTTAAGATTTCAAAGTTGCTATAGTACAGGCGTTGCAATGTTTTAATGCCATCAAATGTTTCATATTGACTGTAATGTTGAATATACAGAATAACATAACCACATAGTAATAAGTCACCTGCGTATTCGATAGGCAAGGAGTGTAAAATGAACTAAGCAAAAAGGCATTGCAAATTTTCATATGGAAGTAAACCAAATTATTTTAATGCAAGTGGCGCGATAGCTCAGTTGGTAAGACCACTGACTGTCACTCCTGAGGTTCCGGGTTCGATCCTGGGTAACACCCTTGGGATTTTTCAGAAACACTTTCAGTGTTTCCCACCTAACTAAAGGTTTACTGGTACGAAACCCAGGTAATCCTCGCATGTATCAGTGCTATACACTGGGCATGTAAAAGAACCAAGGAATCTATTCAATAAGAGCTAGGGACTGGTTCCCGGATTTTCTTGTATCTCGTAGCTGTCTCTAGTGTCTGCTGAGGTAAGGACCCTACTGGAAATAAGTGCTTGCACTTTCGTAGGTTATCCTTGACCGGCCGGTCTAAAGAAAATCAATCAATCAAAATCAATCAATCAATCAATCAATTTAAAGTTTTAAACTTACCTTTCAGGTATGTGTTTCGTTGTTGTCGCCAATTAAATAAATTATTAACTTGCAAGATGTTCTTGCAGTAACTTGATAAAGCACAACAAAAAATTCAATAAAAGTCGTCCAGAATGCATAATATATTTTAGTACGCGATTACTGATTATATCAAAATTTTTAAACCACCAGTCGATGAATTTTCTGCAAAAAATGGTCCGAGTTGGAACATTCAGAAGGTGCGCGATGACATGGTATCCTTCTATTTGATATTCTTGCAAACAGCAAACAAAATATGTTGTTGCTACTGTATATTGACATTAAGGTATTGGTGCATTAAAAACTCCTGCAAGCGTAACGGTTAAAAAAGACAGTGGAAAGTAAAATACCATTTGGATTGATAAAAATGCGCCCGAATATGGCATTATGTTATTATTTATAATTGGAAGGCAAAGACATTGCAAATTAATTTAGGAAATTGACATTGGCCTTTGGCGGTGACCAAATGATAATCTAAACTAATACGAACTTATCACACGCCTTACTATTTCTCTTAAGTTTACATTTTCCTTTTTTTATATATCATTATGATAACATTATTTTTATTAAGTTTTTTAGTAAGTACTAATCAATCGGTAGTTCGTATAAACCGTACTGAAAAAAACAGCATAATCTTTTATCAGCATCATTTTATTTTGTTTACGCGCAATTTGAATTTGTGTCAAAACAATAATTATATGTTAAAATTATTGTAATATCTATAATGTGGTTAAACAAAAAGAACCATAATAACTCACCATTTATGATATAAAAAATCTTGAGATATAGCTGTAAACAATAGAACACATTGTTAACACAATCTTAATCAGGTTCTATTGCGAAATAAGAAAAGGTACCTTTTGAAAAAGTACAGTTCGGTTATTCTTCAACTGAAAAACATTAATCTTTATAGTATGTTGAAACATGCCTACTGCATATCTGCACAATCTGACCACGTAACTATGACGATCCATGTTTCAATTTAGTCTACATGGTCTGCAGTTAAGTTAAATGTTTTTCTGTTTAATTATACATGAGATTTCAAATTTAGGTTTGCCTTGCCTTTTTTGTTTGGGGTTAGGGAAAAAAAAAAATTTAAAATTAATGAAATTTTTAACTAAATAATGTTTACATATTTTTTTTAAATTTACATCTTATAATAACATCATTTTGGGAAAATTTTAATTTTCTGGTTGGCTTGCTAAAACCCGGTAACTAATCTCGGAAAGGCTTTTCAGAAATGTATTTCCTTTTCCGCTAAAATTAATTATTATGGGGGAATTGCTTTTTAAAGGGAAATTTTTTTCGGGTTTCCCTCAACCCATTACCCCTTCAGTGTTTTTCCCAAACGAAAAAACCACTATAAACTTTTGAAGGGCGGAAAATTAAACAGGCAAATTTTTTTTTAGTGGACTGTTTAAAGTCAAAATTTGGGAATCACACTTATATTTGTTTTCAGAAAATTTAAAGTTTCAAAAAATTAAAAATTTTAATTGGTATTCCCTTAAAAAGTGATATTTCCCTTCGAGGCAGCCCCATTTGAGTTTAAAAAAGGAAAAAATTTAAGATTTTGAATAGGTTTAATGTTTTTCTATAATGAAAAATTTCCAATTTATAGCTTACATTTTAAAATTTAATATGTTTTTAATATTTGTTAGTTTAAATATTATTCTGATTTTAAAACCGTAAAATACTAAAAAGGTTTTTAATATTATTTTTATTCTTTTTAAGAGATTTTTTTATTATTCTAGAATTTAAATGAGATTTTTAAAAATAAAAAAAGTTTAAATAGAGAAAAAAATTTCAATTGTTTTTTAACCGGGAAAAAAGGCACGTATTTACAAGCCCGATTTTATCTTAAAGTTTGTTTTTTATAAAATAAGGGATACAATATAAGATTTTTTTAAACAAAGGGAAAAGGAAATAAAACGGGGAAAATTTTTGTTTTTAAACCAATGTAAGATTTATTTTAGAGAAAATGTTGCCCTTAACAAAAGGGGAAAAGCAAAAAGTTTTTTCCCTTCCAAACATAACCAGGTCATCAAAACACATAATTTAAATTTTTCAAAACGGGTTTAAACCCCGTTTCCCAAATTTATTTATAAAAAATGTTCTTTAAGGGTTTTTGTTTAAAAAAGGAAATAACAGGCTAAATTCGAAATTTAATCTGCAAGTGAAATGTATTGTCTGTTATGTTAAAGATATACTATGCTCATCCTTGAGTAAAATAATTTAATCACAGAAATTTATTAAAAGCTATGAAATTCTGACTTAATATGTCTAATTTGAATAACAAACTAAATACACTATTCATTTACAAAGGGGCTGTGTAGCAATTATCACTATTTTTTCTAATATCAGATTGTAGCATAGTATATCTTTAGATATGTCACTTAATTAAATACGTTATCAGGCAAACAATGTAAAGTTAGTATGTTTGATTTAATGTATATCCTTTGTTGAATGACGATACACTTATTGATTATCTGTAGTTTATTATATCCGGTATTTATAAACCTTAAGCACTTTCCAGTGTTTGAATACTTCCGTCACAATCAGTACAACAATTAAAATAGTAAAAGTAGGAAATTCATTCACATGATAACTTAATTGCCTAACTCTTCCTTATATTGTACTTTGCTGGGGATAAAAATATTAATCGTATGAAATAAGTATGTTTAAGTATATTTCCTTCATGATAATGGTGTGCAAACTATGATTAACATAATTATCATATCTGTGCCCTTTTCAGATTCTCCTTAGATTTGATAAAGTTTATCCAATCAAAGACTTTAAACAGACGATTTCTGACTTTGAATACAGCCCTCTTGATCCACAAACAGAACAGAGGGTAACAGATGAAATTGAAAAATGGGAAAAACACGATAAAGCAATAGAAGCTGACATAGAACTTCTAAAAGCTGGCCATAAAAAGACTACCGAGGACTTAAATACTGTTCAAACTAAAATAGATGAAATTGAAAAATGGGAAACACACGAAAAATCAGTAGAAGCTGACATACAACTTCTTAAAGCTGGTCATAAAAATACTACTGAAGACTTAAATACTGTTAAAACTAAAATAGATGAAATAGAAGAACGACTGCCAGCACAACACACGTCTTCAAATATGCAAGGTAAGCATCCTTTTATTTTGTTGATACAAAAATATATTTTAATCTTGAATAAGGCAGAAGTTGTTGATTTAGAGCATTTAAAGGCAGACAATAAATTTATAAAAACTATTGAAGACTTAAAGACTTATGGTTAGCATATTTTTATTCTGTTGATATAAGGAATTATTAAAATATTCGATATTAATGGCCTTGCTTACTCAGGTATTTTAATTTTGACAATCTAAAGATGATCTTAAATGAAAACATGGGTTGATTTCAGTTGCACAAATATGTAAAAAGAAAATGGTAACAACAACGATGTGAACTAATAATTCGTGCTTAATGGACATGTTTTATAATGGTTGTTAGTAATAATTCTTTCTAAAAACTGTTCAAATAATAATTAAAACATTTTGATTAATCTGCAGAATTTAGATTTTATATCATGTTTCTATTGATGAAAGTATTTTTATGAACTTTGCCTTTGCAAACGTGTATTTCCAATTCTGACCATGTATATTGAACATCTCGAGGTTTTTCAACTCCGATCAATAAAAACAGTTTAATTTTGTTTGAATTGATATCTAGTTTTAAAAATACAATTTTAATTTTTAAATTGTAAATCTATTAGTATAGATATTATAATGATCTATCGATTTGTTTGGACTTGGAGAGAAAATGAGCAAAATAGAATTTATTAAACTGTATTCTTGTTCATGTAGGTTTAAATGTTGTTCACTTACATATGCCATATTTATATATGTGTATGTATGTATGTATGTATGTATGTATGTATGCATGTATGCATGTATGCATGCATGCATGCATGCATGGATGCATGCATGCATATCTCTTGGCCACTACTGAATATCTTATGGACAGTGTGTAGCTTCCTAGGAAGTGCACATCAGAGTCAAGTACAAACTCCTTACATATGTGTTTAAGGCGCTTCATGGACAGGCACCTATGTACATACGAAACATGCTGGACATTTCTACCCTATCCAGACAACTTAGGTCTCAGAATGATTGCTTAGCACTTGTTGTACCGCGTAGTAGGACTGTTACTTGTGGTGAGTGTGCTTTTATGACGGCATCCCCTAAACTCTGGAATGCCCTACCTACGTAGAACACTTAAAAGCTGTGAAACTCTAACAGTGTTTAAGAGAGCACTTAAAACTCACTTATTTAAGAGGTTTTATTTGGACTGATTATTTTTTAGGTTCTTACCTGATTTTTAGTATTTATGTGGGTCTTTTTAACTTTTTAAAACTACATTTGATTTGAATTTGTGACTTAAGCGATATTGATGTTTTAATTTGTTTCTTTTGTTGTTTTTTCTTTTATATATTGTATCATGTATGTGGTTATACTGTACAGTACTTTTTAACGTGTCAATGTGCATAAAAAAAAGTGCTTAAGAAGTTTGGTATATAATAATAATAATAATAAATTATATAGCATCTATTGGCAAGGGGATGTTACGGTAAATATTGCTCCTGTCTGGAAATTGAGTATAATAGTATGTAAAACTTTGGTCGGCAAGTTGAAAATAACGGTATATAGCTTCTATCGGCTACATTGAATATAACGATATGTATACATTTTGTCGGAAAGTTGAATATAACGGTGTATATAGCTTATTTCAGCAAATTGAACAGTCATGTAAGTATGTATAGAATATCTATGTACTCTGCTGGTAAGTTGGATATAACGGTATTGATAGCTTGTGTGCGAGTTGTATATAAGGTTATTTAAAGCATTTGTCGGCATGTAAGAAATAACGATATCTTAAGACTCTGTCGGCAAGTTAGATATAACGATTTCTTAAGAATCAGTCGGCAAGTTTGATCTCACGGTATTTATAGCTTCTGTCGGCTAGTTTGATATAACGGTATTAATAGCTTGTGGTGGCAGGTTTGATATAACTGTAGTTATAGTTTATGCCTGCAAGTTGGATACAACGGTATTTATAGTTTGTGGTGGCATTTTTGATATAACGTTAGTTATAGTTTATGTCTGCAAGTTGGAAAAAGCGTTATTTATAGTTTGTGGTGGCAGGTTTGATATGAATGTAGTTATAGTTTATGTCTGCCAGCCGGATACAGCGGTTTTTATAGTTTGTGATAACAGGTTTGATATAACGTTAGTTATTGTTTACATCTGCAAGTTGGATACAGCGGTATTTATAGCTTGTTGTGGCAGGTTTGATATAACGTTAGTTAAAGTTTATGTCTGCAAGTTGGATACAGCGGTATTAATATTTTGTGATGGCAAGTTTGATATAACTGTAGTAAAAGGTTCTTTCTGCTAGTTGGATTAAACGGTATTTATAGTTTGTGGTGACAGATTTCATATAACGTTAGTTATGGTTTGTATCTGCAAATTGGATAGAGCGGTATTTATAGCTTGTGGTGGCAGTTTTGATATAATTTTAGTTATAGTTTATATCTGCTAGTTGGATACAGCGGTATTTATAGATTGTGGTAGCAGGTTTGATTTTACGTCAGTTTTAGTTTATATCTGCAAGTTTGGATTAAACGGTTTCTATCTTGTGGTGGCAGGTTTGATATAACTTTATTTATAGATTATGTCTGCAAGTTCGATACAGCGGCATTTAAAGATTGTGGTGGCAGGTTTGATATAACTGAAGTTATAGTTTATGTCTGCAAGTTGGATTCAGCGATATATATATTTTGTGGAAGCAGGTTTGATATAACATTTGTTATAGTTTATATCTGCAAGTTTGATACAGCGGTATTTATAGCTTCTGTCGGCAAAGTTGATATAACTGAAGTTATAGCTTATGTCTGCATGTTGGATTCAGCGATATTTAAAATTTGTGGTGGCAGGTTTGTTATAACTTTAGTTATAGTTTATATCTGCATGTTGGTTACAGCGGTATTTATAGATTGCGATGGCAGGTTTGAAATAACTGTAGTTTAAGTTTATGCCTGCAAGTTGGATACAGCGGTATTTATAGTTTGTGGTGGCAGGTTTGATATAACTGTAGTTATTTTTTATGCCTGCAAGTTGGATACAGCGGTATTTATAGTTTGTGGTGGCAGGTTTGATAAAACTGTACTTATAGTTTATATCTGCAAGTTGGATAGAGCGGTATTTATAGCTTATGGTCGCAGGATTGATATAACGTTAGGTAAAGTTAATGTCTGCAAGTTGGAAACAACGGTATTTATAGCCTGTGATGGCAAGTTTGATATAACTGTAGAAATAGTTTATGTCTGCAAGTTGGAAACAGCGGTATTTATTGTTTCTGGTGGCAAATTTGGTATAGCGTTAGTAATAGTTTATATCTGCTTGTTTGATTTAACGTTCTTTATAGTTTGTGGTGACAGATTTCATATAACGTTAGTTATAGTTTGTATATGCAAATTGGTTCGAGCGGTATTTATAGCTTGTGGTGGCAGTTTTGATATAATTTTAGTTATAGTTTATATCTGCTAGTTGGATACAGCGGTATTTATAGATTGTGGTGGCAGGTTTGATATTACGTAAGTTATAGTTTATATTTGCAAGTTTGGATTAAACGGTATCTATCTTGTGGTGGCAGGTTTGATATAACTTTATTTATAGATTATGTCTGCAAGTTGGATACAGCGGCATTTAAAGATTGTGGTGGCAGGTTTGATATAACTGAAGTTATAGTTTATGTCTGCAAGTTGGATTCAGCGATATTAATAATTTGTGGTGGCAGGTTTGATATAACGTTTGATATAGTTTATATCTGCAAGTTTGATACAGCGGTATTTATAGATTGCGATAGCAGGTTTGATATAACTGTAGTTATAGTTTTTGTCTGCAAGTTGGATACAGCAGCAATTATAGTTTGAGGTGACAGGTTTCATATAACGTTACTTATAGTTTATATCTGCAAGTTATGATTAAACGGTATCTATAGCTTGTGGTTGCAGGTTTGATATAACTGTATTGATAGATTATGTCTGCAAGTTGGATACAGCGGTATTTTTATTTTGTGGTGGCATGTTTTATATAACTAAAAATATAGTTTATGTCTGCAAGTTGGATTCAGCGATATTTATAAATGGTGGTGGCATGTTTGTTATAACTGTAGTTATAGTTTATGTCTGCAAGTTGGATACAGCGGTATTTAAAGTTTGTGGTGGCAGGTTTGATATAACGTTACTTATAGTTTATATCTGCTAGTTTGGATAAAACAGTATGTATAACTTGTGGTTGCAGGTTTGATATAACTGTATTTATAGATTATGTCTGCAAGTTGGATACAGCGTTATTTTTAGTTTCTGGTGGCATATTTGATAAAACTGAAGTTATAGTTTGTGTCTGCAAGTTAGATTCAGCGATATTTATAATTTGTGGTGGCAAGTTTGATATAACGTTAGTTATAGTTTATATCTGCAAGTTGGATAGAGCGGTATATATAGGTTGTGGTGGCAGGTGTGATATAACCGTAGTTATAGTTTATGTCTGCAAGTTGGATTTAACAGTTTCTATAGCTTCTGGTGTCAAGTTTGATATAAATGTAGCTTTATTTTATGTCTGCAAGTTTGATACAGCGGTATTTATAGCTTCTGTCGGCAAAATTGATATAAATGAAGTTATAGCTTATGTCTGCCTGTTTGATCCAGCGATATTTAAAATTTGTGGTGGCAGGTTTGAAATAACGTTACTTACAGTTTATATCTGCATGTTGGTTACAGCGGTATTTATGTATTGCGATGGCAGGTTTGAAATAACTGTAGTTATAGTTTATGCCTGCAAGTTGGATACAGCGGTTTTTATAGTTTGTGGTGGCAGGTTTGATATATATGTAGTTATGGTTTATGTCTGCAAGTTGGATACAGCGGTATTTATAGTTTCTGGTGGCAGGTTTGATATATCTGTAGTTATTTTTTATGTCTGCAAGTTGGATACGGCGGTATTTATAGCTTATGGTGGCAGGTTTGAAATAACTGTAGTTATAGTTTATGTCTGCAAATTGGACACAGCGGTATTTATAGTTTGTGGTGGCAGATTTGATAT